AAAAAAAAAAAGAAAAGAAAAGAAAAGAAACTGAGTTTTGCATGATACACAGTTGTAGGCTGGCCTTTTTTCTGTTTGAGAAGACTGAGAATGGGGACCCAGTCCTTTTTGGCTTGCTTGTGAGGTCTCAGTTGAGAAGTCTGCTGTTAGTCTGATGGGTTTTCTTCAGAAGTTACCTGATGCTTTTGCCTTACAGTTCATAGGAGCTCCTCCTTTGTGTTAACTTTGGAGAGCCTGATGACTATGTGTCATAGTGGTTCCCTCTTGGGGATGAATTTCCCAGGAGTCCATTGAACTTTAAGTACTTGACTATCCAGATTTCCACCAAGACCTGGGAGATTTTCTTCAGATAATTCCCTCAAATGGGTTTTCCAGTCCTTGTGTATTTTCTTCTTCACTCTCAGGAGGAAGGGATGCCTATGATTCTTATGTTAGGCCTCTTTACATAATCTCATATTTCTTGCAGATTTTGTTCATTCTTCTTATTTCTCTGTTCTTTTTCTTTTTGTTTTTTTTAAGCAAAAGAAAATAAACTTTTAGTCCTTTGAAATGGCTATTGCTAATTATTGTGTATCTCCCAGTTCTTTTCTAAAGCATACATACAACCTCAGTTACTGTATTCAACAGTGGCTAAAATGACCACTATTTTATGTGCTTATAATTCTGTGGGTCAGCATTTTGGGTTGGGCTCTGCTGGTCTGGCCTAGGATTATTCATGTGGCTGGCCTGCCTAAGGTGGCCTCACTTGCAGATGGTGATTGGAGCTGCCTCTTGCAAGTTTGGACCTCTCCATATGGTCTCATTTGTCCTCAGGGAGATGAGCCTTGGCTTCTTCACAAGGCTGTAGCAGTGTCCCAAGAGGGCAAAAATGGCAGCAGCAACACAAGGCCTAGGCTTGGGTGAACCACATACATCATTTATGCCACATTCTATTGGCTAAAACAAGTCAAAAGGGATGGTATCTGTTTGATTCTGCTTTTGGAACAATGCAAAGGAGCTAGTGCAATGGGATCCATATAGATGGCCCCAACTATTCTTTTTCTTTGACTGACTTGTTTAATTCAAAGGTATTGTCTTTTAGCTCTGAGGTTCTTTCTTCTGCCTGACCTAGCCTATTTGTAAGGTTTCCCACTATGTTCTGTGTATCTTTAGTGAATTTTT